TCTCGCATAATACCAATGATGTCCAACACGTGTGACCTGCCATCTCCACTGACTGCCATGGTTATCCATATGTGACCTTTTTGCATGCTAGATTCTGGACACTTGGAAGGAAGGAAGGAAGGAAGGAAGGAAGGAAGGAAGGAATCCTAAAAATCCCATCCTTGTTAGTAACCTCATTTCAAGATTATGTGGCGGAATACACTCCAACATGGTCTGAGGCAAGTCAGGTTTTTTATGTTCTTCTGCCACAATTTTGAACATTCAGTCTATCACAGACTGGGAAAGTTATTCGTTTTGACTTCAACTCTGAGAGGCCATCAGCTATCACAGCAGGAAGGTGTCATCCAAAGCAAATCACTTTCCCAAACTCTGCCATCTTCTATTAGCAATGCAGCAGAATTACTCCGCATGCAGACCTAGGAAAGAACAAGCCACAGGCTGCTCAAATATGAAGTATGAGGGATCACTTTTCAAAACAAATAGCCCTGCTTTTCCCATCCAGATGTTATACTTCATAATGATTAGCATTAAATACGGTCTGATTCAAACAAGATGTGGACATGCCTTCCCTAAACTTTTGTGGAAATTATGCCCCCTTATGCTGCTCCACTAGCTAGCTACCCTGAGTTCACATGTGGCAAGTTTGATAATCAAATATGAGTTCCAGGATGACAAACATGTGGTGAGTGCAAGTATTCACTTCTCTCCCCTCCCATGAAATTTTCCCATCCATTTGCTGGCTTCCTCTAACCACATTTTGCTGCGACGTCTGAATCAGGGGGGGGAAACGCAAGTTACAGTTTGATACTGTGATTTGAAATGCAAATATGGTTTGAAAACTCTTGAGAAGCAAGGGGCTTATGATAGCAGGCTGATCTCTTGAACAGCTAGCATTAGAGAAAGACAGAAAAGGAGGACCTGAGAGAGAAGAATACGATTATAGTGTGATGATAATGATGGTGGTGGTGGTGGAGGAGGAGGAAGTTGTGTGACTTAGGAAGATAACAGCTGTGACATCTAAAGTGGGCCTACATGTTCCTTTGTCCCTAGTTAACTACCTAGCCACAGGATGAAAAAAAAGAGTTTAGCTTACTCAACTAACACTGGAAAAGTGTGTATTGACTCCCTGAAATACTGTTTGCCACCTTTTCAACCAGAGAATCTGGCAAGACCGAGAAACTAATTGTAACTCAATCACCATGCAAACCCACTTCAAACCATGGTTGCATGTGCTGGTTAATCACGGCTTAGAACTGTTCAAATATAATGTTTAGTCACAGGTAGGAAAAAGAAATCACATGTAAATGTTTCACCACTACAGGCCACTGTAGCGCATGCCAGCAAAACAGCTGTACACATAACATGGCGGGGAGAAAGCTTAGATTGGAGCACTGCCCTCCCAAACTATAGTCAAATGAATTTCCTCCAGGTGAATTCACATACACTCTCACTAGCATTATTACCAACATGAATTCTTTATTACAGACCAATAAGATAATCTACCACAACTACAGAGGGTGAGATCATCTCAACCTTCAAGTAAAGTAAGGGTAAAGGTTCCCCTTGACAATTTGTCCAGTTGTGTCCGACTCTAGGGGGTGGAGCTCATCGCTATTTCCAACCCATAGAACTAGTGTTTGTCCGCAGACAATCCTCCGTGGTCACGTGGCCAACGTGACCAGGCACGGAACACCGTTTACCTTCCCACCGAGGTGGTACCTATTTATCTACTCGCATTTTTGCATTTTGCATGCTTTCCAACCGCTAGGTTGGCGGGAGCTGGCACAAGTGATGGGGTCCCACTCCCTCGCATGGATTCGATCTTACGACTGCAGGTCTTCTGACCTTGCAGCACAGAGGCTTCGGTGGTTTAACCCACAGCGCCACCAAATCCCTTCAAGTAAATCCAACCAAAGATTGTAAAGAATGCACAAGAACTATGGCTCAGTTAGATTAGCCTGCCCATCTGACCACTAGAACAGCCCCAATATTATCCCAATGTCAATAGCTTTCTTTGTTTAGCCAACCCAAATAACTCCACGCTCCGATGCTCCATTATCCCAAAACAGTCTTCTCCATCTGTGTCACATCAAAGGACAAGCCAAGTGCACTAATAAAGCAGAGGAAGCCTGTGCATGCAAGAAAATGCACTGGTACCCAGGTTATCCACTTACCCCATTCAGACTTCCCAGATCCTTCACCCAGTGCTCATCCTTCTCATTGTCATAGTTGATGACAGCATGCTGCTTATCCACACTGCGAGACTGGAGACAAAAGGAAAATTATGAGTATATCACGTGGAACTTACGAAGCAAGAAATGGTTTCTATAATTGCAGCAAAAGAACAAGTGCAAACTTGACATATGAACAAATACAGATCCCTGCTTTCATTGTAAGCGCCCATTTTGTTTATCAGAACTGACAAGTAATACACTTGGCCGCCACCTCCACCCAGCTAGAACTGAGAAAAATATCTTTTTTTAGACTTCAGCTGCAGAAGCAAAGCTCCCCTGGTCTCTCCACAGCACTACCTATTGTATTTACTAAATCTATAACTAATCTTAGCATCTGTTCCAGTATATTAGTTTACCCCTGTTTATAGAAAACAGCAGAGGCAGCAGGAAAACCATGTCTATGCTGCACTGTTTTGGCTGCTTGCATGATTGTGAAATGCTCTTTTACTTTTTAAAACAAAGAAATGAAGTGGAATGAAAAGCAGAATGGATGATCCCAAGTACATCATTTCCAGGAAGCCCTTCTGTAGGCTCCAAAGCACCAGTATAAGATATTCATGAAAGCTTTCTAAGGGAGGATACAGGTGCACAGTAATTTCCCTTCCAAATTTATCTGATCAGCCATCAATAAAGATGGGCCAAAGTGGCGTTTTGTGCTGGTTTGTTTATTGGTTGAAAAGGTGTTCAGCACTTCCCAGCCCTGCGTCCTCTGGCAGGCACCCACTCAGAGGCAGTGGCCAAAGGAGGCGGGGCAGGGAAGCAGGGTGCTTCCTCTGAGTTGGCATGCCTGCCAGAGGAGGCAGGGCTGGAAAGCGCCAAAACCTGCTGAACCAATGGAAAAACTGGCACTAATCACTGAACCGGCAGTTCGTGTCCATTTCTATCTATTATTTATTTTTAAAATATATTTGTACACTGCCTTTCTCTTTTAAAAGGACCCCAAGATCCCTAGTCATCAGAGTGCATTAAATTGAATGTATCACAAGATTCCCCCTCATGAAAAGCCCTGTTTCAAAAGTTATCATATCATATCATGAATAACCTTGAAATGACAATCACAACGAAAACTGGTTTCTA